AACTATTTTAGTAGAGCAACATCTGCTTTATCGATTGGAAATATTTTCAAGTGTCTAAAACATCTATAAAGTGCTCACATATGCAATGTTTGTGAACATTTTGTTGAAATAGACCAGTATGAATTCGGATTTATTTTCAGTTTTCTCAAAACTATGATTTTCTTAGGGGGGTGGGTCACCTGTGCAGAGATATTTCTGAAAGTACATGTCATACCTCGATTCCACTTTGCATGACTGTTTCTAGATATGTTTGCAACGTACTATAAGATTATTGTGATATTGTTATACGTTTTCTGTCAGTGTAAAAAAGAGTGACAGAATCACTCTTATTTGTGATCAATTTTTGTGTACAAGTATCGTATTTGACACTAAAAGGGCAGTTACAAGAAATGTGTGAGACTTAGGAAAATATATCTTTAGTACCTTGCAGGTTGTATATACAGAGACGCTGTGTTAAAATATCAATGCTGTGTAATTCAATATATTTCAGAATCCCTGCACAGAATTTGCGCGAATTTTGGTCTGTCGAACCTTTTGTTGCATCTGAAGAATTCAGAAAATTGACAGTGAAATCACACAGGGATAGAATGTTTCTGTTTCTTGACCCATGCTGGTTATTGGGAAGCCCAGTATACCTAATTTAGAGATTTTAAAAAATGGTCACTTCAGCTGTACCAAGTGTCCCGTAAAACCAGCAGTGTCCACTCATGCAGTATACCAATTTAAAGCCAAACAAATTCTGCGTCATCTGACGCATTAATATTTCATCTCTGTTTAGAGACGTTCGAAATATGGTCACTCAGAACAGACCTTAAAAAGTCAAGCTTAGCAAAATTGTGTGAAGACAAAGAAATATAAAAGTAAAAGTGTGTTGTGCATCAACATTCTAGCATCTGCGTTAGTTGCTATTATTTTTCTGTCCAAAAGTTTCCAAAAGTTGCCGCAGTAAAATTTCAAAAATTGCCTTCAAAGTTGCCATTAATTTTAAAGTTTTCAACTCTCTGTGAAGACGTACAGCAATATGTTGTTGGAGGTAACTTAACTCTTTAAACCCTGAGTGTTTCCCACCGTTTCTCTGAGTATTTTCTAGAGTTACCTAACCCTGGTGCACTATGTTTCATAATACACATGTACGCTATTGTAACCCAACTTCTAAGTGGCGGAAACACAGGCTTAGGCATTACTTAGAAACTTGGTTCGGGAATAGATCAGAAAAACAAGGAGGATAGGGAGCGTCCGATGTGGTTTAAAGAGTTAATCTAAAGCACCAGAAGTTCTTGTGCTCTGTTTTAAGAATCCAGAATATCGTGTGTGGCCACACAAAGTGTAAAAACGTGAGAAATAAAAGTTTCACTACAGAAGTAAATCAAAATTAAAACTGCACAAAAATTAACAAATAAGGGCGTGTGTCCGCCAATCTAAAAGTGTGTAATTCAAGAAAAAGTGCAGGATCTTACATGTACATAAATAATGGAATCACACACGAGTGGCCTGTCAGCGTCAGTATTTGGTTTTGGTGGAGACATGTGTGTGTGTGAGTTTTTTGTGTGTATGTGTGATATGGGAATATCTGCCCCCGTCGTTTTAGGCAAGAAAAATTATGAAATTATGCAAAATTGGGCCCAAAAATGGGAAATTGTGCGATTCTGTTAATTTTAACAAAGAATGATAAAAGAGAATAATCAGCAATTATGCAAAAAAAGATTTAGTTTTGCTAAATTATGCGGGGTGCTTAAAACCACGGGGACAAGAGTATGTGTGTGAGTTTTGTTTCCATAATGTTCTTTCTCAAAACAAGCAACTGGTCCTCAGCTGAGGCAGCGTAACGAGGTGCGTGTGGCGAGCAGCGTGACAGCCATCACTGAGCCCCGCAGCACATCGCTCGTCCTGGGCCGGAGGAGGATCTTTGGCCGGGTCACGCTCGTCGTCTCTTTCGTCTACGCCTTGTGCTACGCCCCGTTTGTGGTGAGCTTTGCTTGCTTTGGTTTTCAGTTGTGTTTCTTTTTCTGTCCCCGTCGTTTTATGCAAGAAAAATTCTGAAACTATGCTGAGACCAAAAATGTGAAATTATGCGATTCTGTTAATTTTAACAAAGAATGATGAAGGAAAATAATCTGAAATTATTCAAAAAATGATCACATTTTGCTCAATTATGCGGGGTGCATAAAACCGCGGGGCCAGCTTTGTGTGTGTGTGTCTGTATGTGTGTGTGTGTGTGTGTGTGTGTCTGTGTTGTGTGTGTTGTGTGTGTTGTGTGTGTGTGTGTGTGTGTGTGTGTGTGTGTGTGTGTGTGTGTGTGTGTGTGTTTGTGTGTTTTGCGGGGACACTTGAATAGACATAAAGGCCTTGAACGTTTAGCTCTGACTAGCAGAATTGAAGGAACGCGAGGCGTGAGCAACCAACTTGGACAGCCTAAACAGACGGGTTACAGTTAGAGGTAAATAGGAGAACGCTGCCTTTTGAGACCATTAGAGCGAAGGAATTAATGGAGAACCATGACTGGCAGTGTCTATCGTAGATCTTGTACTTGATGGTGACTTTTAGACTTTTAGATCTAGTAATTCTGTGGCGTTTGCAAGACAATTAGGTCATATAGAAATCTAACTGCCGAGAAATTGAGGTGTTCCTGGATGGAAACAAACAAAAAAAGAGGAAAACTGAAAACAATGAATGTTTAACCCCATCCGTACGCCCTGGGGTCATTTTGTACCTCCGGGGTTGTATTCTTCACATTTTAGAATACTTCTAGTAGTACGAAGATCTCTTTGAAACTTTCAGTATTTCTTAAAAAATCAATTTGACAGACTGTTATGCAAAGCGTACAGATCGTATTTACGAGTAAATTTCCTCTTTGGAAAGTGGTGGCACTGAGTTCCCCACGTCGTATGGATACGATAGCGAAACACGACGTACGGATAGGGTTAAGGAAGGAAAGAAAGAGCAAAACACAACAAAATACCCGCCAACCTTTGACCTTTTGTTTGTAATTATTTTACGGCCCTCGCAACTGCATAAGGGCAACTCATAGGAGCGCGCGGGACACATTAAACCTTTTCAGTTTGTAGAACATTTTGAATGTTGCACGGGTGGCGGCCGAAGCCTACTCGTATCGATTTTAAACCACCAAGGGATCTTTAACGTGCGCAACTTGCACGCGGATCCTCCGAGATTTTTCGTCCTCGTCCGAGAAAGCTAGCTGTAGATCTTTCCTACCAGAAGATCAGGGTTGTGGCTGAAAGACAGCAGTAAAAAGGGGCCAAGGAGTAGCAGTAGCACGGCTATAGAAAGAGTCAGGAGTCCAGAGGAGGGGGCAAAGGAGGCGAGGGAGTGGCGGCAGAAAGAGGAGACGAAAGCAGACAACAGAACATTGCTACAGATCAGGAAAGGAGGGAAAGGAGACAATTTTAGAGAGAAAAAATTCTCGGTCGCTACCCGGATTCGAACCCGGGACCTTTGAATGAAAGGCCAACACCTTAACCTCTAGGCCACGAGAGTCCCAATCTTTGGCTGTTTGTTGTTGGTGTATAAAGTGAGTAAGTGTAGATAATGAGTCTAACGCCCTATCAACAGTGTTAGGTTGTATAAGAGTGAGGACCTCCGAATTTAACGTCCGTCCCCGATAGGCCCGAGCCAAATGGGTTGAGAGCCTTGCAAACTCCACAAAACGACCACAGTTCAAGGGCTCCCAATCTGGGATGCGAACCAAGTTCAACCGCTGCGTAGTCGGGCGTGATACCAACTGAGCTAACGGAGTACCTAACTGTTAGTACTGTTGGTGGTGGTGGTACTAGTTGTGGTTGTGGTGGTGGTAGCGGTAGTGGTGATGTTGGTAGCAGTAGCGATGCTGGTAGCGGTGGGGATGATAGTATTGATATAGGCCTACTTGGCGTCAAAAGAAACCAGACACCCCTTTTTTAGTGCTTTTTGTATTGAAAGACTGATTTTTAACCAGAAACAATCTCTCTATAAGGAAAGTTTGAACATTTTACAAATCAATTACACAAAAAACAATTTTTAAAAACGAACTTTATTACCTGAAATTATATGCCTTAAAATGAACAGGCACCGTTAATTCCGCGTATA